AAGTAAATTTTTTATCAATTTATACAGATAGACACACAGCATAATGATATTTTTATAAATTTATCATCGATCAACACAAATCTAGCTTTAAAAGGTTCCCATTTTTTTTGAAATTTTGAAAAAATGGACTCAAAGTCTCAAAAAACTCTGTTTTAGCCCTTTTTCGATCATATGAGAAAAGTGATGCTGAGGTGTTATAAATTTCTACTTAGGCTTAAATTAAAGATTGAACCTTCATTTAACAGAATCATTTTAGAGAGCCCGCACTCTACTAACACTTAAACAGCGGCACAATAATTATAATGTTTAAATTTATTGATGAGGGCAATTTTTTAAATCTTAAAGCCAGTAAACACATGCTGGTTAAAGCTTGCATGTGTTTTGTTTTGTTTCACGAGCAAGAAAGGGGGATAAAACAGGATTTTTTGAAACTCACATTCGGACATTTTTATTTTTCACATACTTAACTCAACTTTGCAATTCAACATTTCAAAATTTGAACTTAAACCTTTAGTAAATTTTCAGTTAATACTGGGGGCTGTGTGGGTTTATAGTTTTTGAATTTATCGCAGAGGATTTCGATTCTATGGAAAATTTTCTGCAAAATTTAACTTTTTGTATAATTTGTTGAATAAGTTATTTTAAATTGGTCACTAGAAACACTAAAATAAAAAAACGCCCGATGGATTTGAACTGTTTTTGAAAAATATTTAGCGAGATATCCTGAACAAGTTGCAACAGAAATTTTTGAAGGGAAATAACTTGAGGGTTGAAATTGGTTCCAGGGCACCAGAATAGTTCTATCCCTGTTAAGCTTTTTGCTGATATTGAACTGCATCTTTAGTGTTTTAAAATATCAGTGATTTAGACACTCGGTATCTTACGATGTCGGTACATTAGAAATTAATCGTTTTGGGAGTTTCTTTTCAAATCGAAATATAACTTTATTCAAAACAAAATTTACAATGTCATAAAGAGATTAAGTTATTGGAAATAATATGTACAATTTTTATACAATAATATATATGCAAATCTACACTCACTTGGGGCGCATGATTATTCCCCAAATGTCATTTTTCCGAAATGTCATTTTACCGAACTGCACTTTTGCGAATAGTCATTTTTGAGAAAAGACAATTTTGCGAAATGTCACTTTTGCGAATTGTCATTTTTTCGAAAAGCTAGTTTTGCGAATTGTCATTTTTACGAAAAGACATTTTTGTGAAATGTCATTTTTGCGAAAAGACATTTTTGCGAAAAGTCATTTTTACGAATTGCCATTTTTGCGAATTGTCATTTTTAAGAAATGTCATTTTAGCGAATTGTCATTTTTGCGAAAAATACAATAGTGAATTTATAGACCTATAAGTTTTCTATTGTATTTTTCGCAAAAATGACAATTCGCAAAAATGACTTTTCGGAAATTTGACAATTCGTAAAAATGTCGATTCGCAAAAATGACTATTCGCAAAAATGACAATTCGTAAAAATGGCGATTCGTAAAAATAGCGATTCGCAAAAGTGACAATTCGCAAAAATGACATTTCTTAAAAATGACAATTCGCAAAAATGGCAATTCGTAAAAATGACTTTTCGCAAAAATGGCTTTTCGCAAAAATGACATTTCACAAAAATGTCTTTTCGTAAAAATGGCGATTCGCAAAAATGACTTTTCGGAAAATTGACAATTCGTAAAAATGGCGATTCGGAAAAATGACTATTCGCAAAAATGACAATTCGTAAAAATGGCGATTCGTAAAAATAGCGATTCGCAAAAGTGACAATTCGCAAAAATGACATTTCTTAAAAATGACAATTCGCAAAAATGGCAATTCGTAAAAATGACTTTTCGCAAAAATGGCTTTTCGCAAAAATGACATTTCACAAAAATGTCTTTTCGTAAAAATGGCGATTCGCAAAAATGACTTTTCGGAAAATTGACAATTCGTAAAAATGGCGATTCGGAAAAATGACTATTCGCAAAAATGACAATTCGTAAAAATGGCGATTCGTAAAAATAGCGATTCGCAAAAGTGACAATTCGCAAAAATGACATTTCTTAAAAATGACAATTCGCAAAAATGGCAATTCGTAAAAATGACTTTTCGCAAAAATGGCTTTTCGCAAAAATGACATTTCACAAAAATGTCTTTTCGTAAAAATGGCGATTCGCAAAAATGACTTTTCGGAAAATTGACAATTCGTAAAAATGGCCATTTGAAAAAATGACAATTCGCAAAAATAGCTTTTCGCAAAAATGACAATTCGCAAAAGTGACATTTCGCAAAATTGGCTTTTCGCAAAAATGACTATTCGCAAAAGTGCAGTTTGGTAAAATGACATTTCGGAAAAATGACATTTGGGGAATAATCATGCGTCCCCACTCACTTATGAAACAAACCAATTATTTCTCTTTCTCACAATGCAAAAATAAGATTACTCATATTTTTCATGACGTTTACAACATTATAACCACAAAGTGTAATTATGTTTTGAAAAAGTGACATTGCATCTACTATATAAAATTTAGTTGAAAAGTAAAATATTAAACTTATTTCAACAAATTATTGATTAGTTAACGACACATTCAGTTTGAGGGATTAACGCATTCACCATGCAACTCAATCCGTAATTTTCACGATTATAATTTTATAATTTTATTTATTTAGAATAAGTTCCATTGGATGGATACAACGCCAATGATATGAGCAAAAATCAGAGTTTCAATACTTTTTTTTACTGAAAATATTAATAATTTAATATTTTGAGATTTTCGGATTTTGTTTTGAGTCAAGTTATATTCCGGTACATTGCAAAAATCGGGTGTCTTATACTTGGACAAAAGTATCTTAAAACCATTCTACCACCTTAGGACTGCACTCTCAGTTTTCTACCCCTCAAAGTATTACCACTCTAATTTTTTGTTTCTTTGCTTCTTTCTTTGCATCCTTTTCTCCTTCTAACAAAACGTTACAGAATGTTTTGTTATAGATGTGATCATTTTTTTAATTTCACACTTGTATTTGTTACCTATCTGTTAAATTAAAATAATGTTTAGAATCCTTTTGAAAAGTATCTCTTATAATTTTATAGTGTTAAGAATTATTACAAGATATAAGCTTGTTCTGTCTATTTTGTCATCAACTGGTTTATAGTAAAATAGGCATATCGAACAAAATATTTTCTCCATTAGTAGTTGTCTAAAAACATGTTTTTAATTTTTTTTTTCTTGCAGAATTTTTCTATTAGAACGGTTTATCAGAATGTAATAAATAAGGATCCGTTTCAATTTAAAGTGACCGTTGATTTGAAAGGTAATTTAACCTTTTAAACCGTTTTTTATTACGTTTAAAAAAGACGTTTTTCCTAAAAGTGAGTTTAAGGAGAAATATGACAAATTTCACTGTTCGACAAAATTTTGCTACAAGAATAAACGAAAGTGATTCTTACAGGATTTTCGACGTAGATGACGAATCTGTAAGTGAAATTGTCCCATCACGTCTCAATTTTGAGAAAAACGGGGTCAAAGTGCCAAAAAATGGGTTTTATGGCACTTTTTGAAGTACAATAAAAAAAGAACGCGACGTGATAAAAAGCTCAAATATGGCTTAAATGAGAGCCAAACCCTCAACTTTAACAACCAAAAGCAAAAATCCATGTAGAAATAACTCAAAATTGTTGGGAACAACTTTTTACCGCTTGCGCGTAAAACAGCTATTATTTTGGCGATATTTTAGCGATTTTAGCGAAAAGTTGTTCCCCACAATTTTGAATTATTTCTACATGGTTTTTTGTTTTTGGATGTTAAAGTTGAGGGTTCGAGCTCTCATTTAAGCCATATTTGAGCTTTTTATCACGTCGCGTTCTTTTTTTATTGTACTTCAAAAAGTGCCATAAAACCCATTTTTTGGCACTTTGACCCCGTTTTTCTCAAAATTGAGACGTGATGGGACAATTTCACTTACAGATTCGTAATTTACGTCGAAAATCCTGTAAGAATCACTTTCGTTTATTCTTGTAGCAAGAAAAAACCTTAATTTTGTCGACCAGTGTTTTAATTCGGTAAAAAAAGCTCGTTTTTAAGAATTTTTTTGTGGATACAAAGGGAGTCACCGTATTGAACCAACTTCTATACAATAAAACTGCATTTAAACAATATTTTTGTAAAATTTCATTCAAAAATATTTAAAGTAAAACCAATAAAAGTAAATATCATCAGAGGCGCTTTGAGAAAAAAATTGTATTACGATGCGCATATCGTAACTGTTGACAGAATCATCTGAATTTTGCTTCAATTGACTTGAAATTTTGACACAATATTCTTGAGAATGTATAAACATTCATTCTATAAAATGCAAAAAAAAATTCCATACCCTTACCCCCCTTAAGTGGTATATATATTAAAAAATCATGTTCTGTTGTAACAGCTAAACTGCACTGGAGGAAAAAATTAAAAACCTGTTTTCTTACTGAAAAAACTCTTACTAATGGAAAGAAAGATGTTTTATTCGAATGTCAAGAAAAATTTTTATTTTTATACCAGTAATAGTATAACAATTAATAATAATTAATAAATTCTATATCGATACTTCCATTAAAAAAATCCGCTTTCACGTGGATCGTCTAGATGAACCAGTATTTAGTTGCTCCTATAAAATAACCAAACTGTATTTTTTCCTGGTTATATTTTGTTTCATACACTTTTTATTTAAAGGCCTTCATTTGTAATAAAAAAAATAAATAGTCAGATACTATTAATAAAGTATAAATAATTACTATTTCGTTGCCAATATTTTATATTTAAAATAAAAAATGCTTAAAAGAAGTTCGGTTGTTTTAGAGGAACAATTGAACACAGGTTCTTCTTGACGACCAACATGAGAGAGGGTTTTTTCGAATGAAGATAACGATTTAAAAAAAATTGCATTAATGATAGTAAAGTTATGTTTTTTTACAACTTTTATCTAAATTTTATTTATAACGCAATTGTTTTTTTGTAGGTAACAATATGAAAAAATGTCGTGCAAGGTATGGACTGGATCAACAGAGTCAATGGTGTAAGCCATGCAGGTACGTTTAGATAGTGCATTTATAGCATATATTAAGTCACAAGATCTTTACATGTAGTTTAACATTTTATAGTTTTTCAGATTTTTACAACAGAGATAATTTTAAAGACTTAACCATTATATTTAGCATAATATTATGAAAAATATTTTTGCTAGAAATCATTAAATCTTTAAAAATATCCTATTTTCTATTTTTAAAGTAATAGTATTTAGGTTATAATTATAGTTTATTTATAATAAATTATATTTATTTATAATTATAGCTAAAATAATATTTTCCTTTATCCCGGAAAGCTAATGTTATTTTGATCTTGTGGAAATTATACATTAATCACCTTCATTACAAATACTTTCATATTTATTATCCTTATTCGTTGTCCACATGTAGTAGCCTTGTAATTCAATAGTAAAAACTAACAAGCTTTAAATTAATGTTTCATCAGAAAATGTGTCTTAATAATGCAACAATAAATTGTTTTTTACTTTAATACCGGTAGCAAGTGAGCAAACTTTAGCAGCGAGCATCACTTAGCAGAAGAACGTGAGGTTTCTGTGTAAAGAGCCGTCAAACAAGTGACTACGAGTTAGGGAACATTTGGAGAATTTATGTAGTTTCCGTAGCTTCCCTTTCCCGGCAAGCGGAACCCAATCACTGCTAATTACGAATCCGAAATCAGAAGTTGAAAATTATAATTGGAGGTCGAATTTATTAAAACTTGTTGCATTTTTATGAACATTAATATCTAGGGTTTGTTAGGATCGCTTTTTGGGAATTTTAAATTTAGCAACTCTAATAAGTGTCAGACAAATTAAAAGGAAATATTCAGATTGTCACGCAAATTCAGAATTTAAAATCACTACACTGATCTGTTATTTATATTATTGGAAATAAGTTTTCTTCAAAAGCACTTTTATATATTTTTTTGCATGATACTTGAGTGAGCTATTGGTGCTGGCACTTAAACGTTCGTATTGTGGAGTGAAATTGCCTTTATACTTTGTTTAGAAAACTCTATAAAAATTGTTTAATATTCACCTTCGTAGCAATTTGTTTAATGAAAAGTGGAGCACAATTAATATTATGCTTCACATTATGATAAGGCTTTTCAACCTAACTAATTGCCGATTCCCTGTTTCATAATTCTTCTTTTACCTATGCCGTACCTGTGCTTACTATTACTTAACCTCTCAAGTAAAAAAAAATGTTGGCTACTTCAAGACTACCTCAAGGCTCGCTTAAGGCTGAAGGCTCACTTAAGGCTCAAGATTTGTTTGAAGCTAGAAACTCGTCTAAAACAAAAATTGATAAAGGCTCAAGATTCAAGATTTGCTTAAAGCTAAAAATTAAATCTTCAGACAAGCCTTGAGCGAGTTGTACATCTTAGACCAATCTAAAATTTTGGAAGAGCTTTCAGGTTCCAGCAGCTCTTTAGCCTTAAGCGAGTTTTAAGCCTTAGACAAATGTTTAATTTTAGACGTGTTTTTAGCTTCAAAAAATCTTCATCCTTAAGTGAGCCATAAGTGAGCCTTATCCTTTAGTTCAGTCTTAAATCTTAGATGAGTTTTTAGCTTCAAACAAGTCTTTAGCCTTAAGTGAGCCTTTTTTCTAAGTTCAGTCCTAAGTATTAGACGAGTTTTGAGTTTCAAACAAGACTGGAGCCTTAAGTGAGCCTTAAGCCTTAATTCTAAGTGCAGTCCGAAGTTTTAGACGAGTTTTGAGCTTCAAACAAGTCTTGAGCCTTAAGTGAGCCTTGAGCTTTATTTTGAGCTTCAAACAAGTTTTGAGCCTTAAACGAGCCTTACATCTTAATTCTTAGACGAGTTTTTAGCTTCAAACAAGACTTGAGCCTTAAGTGAGTCTTAAGCCTTAATTCTAAGTTCAGTCCGAAGTTTTAGACAAGTTTTGAGCTTCAAACAAGTCTTGAGCCTTAAGTGAACCTTGAGCCTTACTTTTAAGCTTCATACAAGTATTGAGCCTTAAACTAGCCTTACATCTTAAGTTTTAGACGATTTTAGACTTGTTTTAGCTTCAAACAAGTCTTAAGACTTAAGTGAGCCTTGAGCCTAAATCGAGCCTTGAGGTAACCAAGATTTTTTACGCGGGCTTATAAGCTGTTGAAGAGATTTCCAAATGTTTATGCTAAAAGAGTGTTGAAAAGATTTTAATAAATTTTTATGAAACTTGGTATTTATCTGCCTTATACCATATTTGGATTCAGAGACCCAATAAATGTGAAAACACCAAATTTTATAAAAATCCACTAATATTATAATATTTCGATCCTCCATTTTGTCTTTTAAAAATCTGATGTCAGAATCGTAATCAGCAATCAGTAAAACCCCCAAACAAAGAATTTTGAGAAATTTTTTAACGCAGTTTTTATTAATTTTGTTTTACTTGCGGAAAATGCATTTGTTAATGGAATTCGATATCATGCATTCAGTTAAAAAATGCAAAAAAGGGAAAATACCATACCTGGGTTAAGAATTGTCTCTATTGAGATTTAATATTATGTATTGTCCTGTATCTTGAATAAACCGGATTGTAAATGGTAGATCGATTTTCTAGTAGTACACCTTCAAAGCAGAATTCGATAACCTTAATCAGGAAGTAAATTCTAGACTAGCTTTGTAAAATAATAACATCTATGCAGTACTTATTCAGAGCAAGGAACGAACTATAGCGAAACTGTTTAATTATAGTCTTATTAATAACTATACCTCTTCTTCGAATCACCATTCTTACAATAAATACGGTTTTGATACTTGGATGACACTTCACGTCACTAATTAATTAAAATAACGACTTACTAAGGTTCCCGGAGTCTTTGCGGCGTGCAAATCCTTTCCCTGTGGGCACGAAAATTTCTTTGTTCTGGAAACGTTTCTAAAACGTTTTTAGTTTTCATGTCCGCTACATAACGTCCAATGTTCTAAAAACGTTTTTAGAACATAAAATGTTTTTAAGACGTTATGTGGAGGACATGAAACGTTTTAGGAACGTTTCTAGAACAAAAAAGTTTTCGTGCCTACAGGGTTTGTCAATTACAACTCAGATCATTACAATTAAGTTTAAACTTTTGATGCTAAAATTCATATGATAAATCAATGTACAATTTTTTGAATCCTCTGGACAATACTCTTAACAGGTTAGTCGCAGCAATTTCTTCAGGGTAAGATTTTAACTATATTATGCAACAATTTACTTTTTATGGTGTAAATGAAATGTTGTATTGAGACATATTTTCTGATTGATCATATTTTCTGTAAAAACTTAACATACTTGTTACGACTTCTATAAATTTGAATCATTTACGTAAGATTACTTGTGGATAGCGATGTATTATTTACTAAATGGGGATTATTTAAATAAATGTTGAAAGAATATTCCCTTTAATGGCTGGTGGTTAATTTTGGCAGCCCAGTGGAGCACGGAGCGGGGATGGGCATCCACGCTAGCATTATCCATCATGGTGTGGGAAGTAGCGCGGGGGCTGGGGTCGGAGCTGGAGGTGGTGGCGGAACGGTAGTAGCGTCAGCTGCACCGTCAAATACCAATGCTGCCTCCAACACTTCCTCGCCTCAGCAAGAACCCACTTATGTTAATCTCTAGTCAAGCCTATCACCTCCCTTCTACTGCAACACTTCTTCTTAAACAGTGGTCAGTCCCGAAAGTGATCTAAGGGTTCGCCAGCTCTCACTCAGCTTATTAACCGTTCATTTACTCTCTTTTGATGTACTTACTGAATATTTAACTAAGAAAATGTCTAATTATTTAACAGTTTATTGAGTATTTTTTGCAAGTACTGTGAGCGGAAGAAACAGAGTGAGTAGCCAAGCGATCTCCTAGTACTCGCATTGTTTCTCATTGTTGTGGCTCTTTTAAGCTTATTGTTATTTATCGTTTTTTAATTTTATATTTTTCGGTGTTGCCCTTGGCATGACTAAACTGCAAATCATGCATTTACACGCCTGTGTTTACATATAAATATGTATGTATGCACATTACATATATCTAAAACTTTGTATCTTAATTATTTTCGACTTTAGTTTATTCACCTCAAACTCAGTTAACTTCTGCATATATTTATGTTTGTTTTTTTTAGTTTTGAATTAGGTACTAGCAATTTATTAAAATATAAAATTTTAACAATACCGTACATGTCCCAGTTTTTATCCATGATCCAATAGTTGTACATTTTTGATAACTTCTTGTTGTATTTGATGAAGATTAGTAGTTTACGTAAACAGATTTAAAAAAATAATTTTTTATAAAAACTGGACGGAACCTGGGCCTTAAGTGGAATGTAACTGGGACATCCACGATAACTTAATCTAAATTAATTTAAGTAAATTATTTGTCATATCATACAATTAAGTGTTATATTTTTAGATATATTTCATAATTGTTAGTAATTATCAATAATTTATTCTTGTTCTATGAGAACATTTTCGTATCCTGAGAAAAAAATTTTAATTTTCGAGGTTCCCGGTTAAAAGAGGATTTAGCAGAACCGCTTCGTATCGAAAGTAAATGCGGTTTCGACACCAAGTAGCGGTTTCATGTGCTCTGATAAATACTTTTTTAATTGAGTTATTTGTATAAATAAAATATGGTTTTTCACTTGTTTACGTTTAAATTTGTCTTAAAACATATTTATTTATTCCAAAAGTTTCGTTCACTCATGGTAAACATCATTAGTGCAAATTTACGATTACGATTTATGTTGTTTAATACTTATATCCTAGTGGGCACAAAACGTTCTAGGAATTATAACCAATTGCTTAGGATTATCAATTATTTGAAAGTAAATGTGAAAAGAAAGAGTCTGAATGCTGACATTCAATAAAATGTAAAATATTTATTTAAACTCGCTAATGCGAATAATTCTCAATTGCAATTATAGGAGGACACAATCACAGAGATTGTAAATCGCATCAACAACAAACGACTTAAAGAAGTCTCGTATAATTTGTAACACAAGAAGCTGAGGTAAAAAT